TGCCAACCTAGCAGTTCGAAAGCACATTAAAAAAATGCAAGTAGAAAAATAGGAATCACTTTTGGTAGGAAGGGAACTGCATAGAATAGAATAGAATTCTTTGTTGACCAAGGAATTTGTTATGCTCAGTGTATATAAAAAGACAAGATACATTCGTCAAGAACCATAAGGTATAGCACTTAATGATAGTCCTAGGGTACAAATAAGCAATCAGGAAACAATATCTATATAAATCGTAAGGATACAAGCAGCAAAGTTACAGTCCTGCAGTCATAAGTGGGAGGAGATGGGGGATAGGAACGATGAGAAGACTAATAGTAACAGCAATGCAGTCTTAGTGAATAGTTTGACAGTGGTGTTAGTTAGTTGTTAAGCAGAGTGATGGCGTTCAGGGAAAAAACTTCTTGTGTCTAGTTATCTTGGTGTGCAGTGCCCTATAGAGTCGTTTTGAGGGTAGGAGCTGGAACAATTTATGTCCAGGATGCGAGGGGTCTGTAAATATTTTCCCAGCCCTCTTTTTGACTCTTACAGTGCCTCAATGGAAGGCAAGTTGGCAGTAACTGTTTTTTTCCCCCCTGCAGTTCTAATTATCCCCTGAAGTCTCTTGTCTGTCTTGTTGGGTTGCAGAGCCAAACCAGGCAGTTATGGAGGTGCAGGTGACAATCATTCCTCCGTAGAACTAAATCAGCAGCTCCTTGGGTAGTTTGAGCCTCCCAAGTTGGCGCAGAAAGAACATTCTTTGTTGTGCTTTTTTGATGATATCTTTGATGACGCATGAAACGAAGAGAAGCCTCTTGTCAGTCTTGGGAGAGGGGGAAAAAAAAAACTCAAGATGCATCGGGCCATGCTGGATAAGGCCAGGAACAGAAGGGAAGACAAGGGGTTGGCATAGAAGGCTTTTTAAAAACCACAAAAGCAGGCACCCCATGAAGCTTTAAGCCTGATTTGCAATGCCCTGTTTGGAGGGCTTCGTTTCAAGCCGGCGCTTTTTGTAGAAGGTTTACTGTTGTGTGTTTGTGTGTGTTGCAAGTGCCGCACGCTGGGTGGCTCTCTTCCCCTTCCTGCTGTCGCTCTATCAAGAGGAGACACACACACACACACACACACACACAGAGGTATGACTTGCTTTCCTTTTTTTTTTTAGTTCTGGGCTGGCCTTCCTCTTGACCTCACCAAGGTAACTTAGGAAGCCCTGCTTGGGAGGTGGGGGGGACTTTCCCCGTGTCCAAAACACCTTTAAAACGGTTTGTTTGTGGCTTGACTAAACTTTGCTTTCTGCACCCGCTCTCCCCTCGCCCTCCCCAGGGTTCTCTCCACTGTCCCCTCTTCCTTGATTTCTAACCATCGTGACCCCCCCAAGAGCTTCCTAGATGCTTGCTCCGAGGATTATTCGTGGCTGTGTCCACCCACGCGCAGCCTGATTCCGGTGACTGCTGTGTTTCCCTGGGAGCCTTGGGATTTCTCTCCCTCCTCACCAGCAACATGGCTACGCTTGCTGTCTAGCGGGAGCCCAGTAGAAAGCCGGGCTTGGGCAGAGAGCAGGAGACAGCTGACGATGATCTAATCGGGGCCCCGGGTGACGCGGTGCACCCAACAGCGCTTCGAAGCCTCCAGGCTCCTGAATTAAGCTGTTTTCAGGTCCTTATCTTGGGCTTGGAGCCAAGCTAGTAGCCAGCTGAAGCGCCGAAGCAATGGTGGGATCGTCAATCAGTTGGGTTCACTCGGTTGGAGCCCCTGGTTATGGGAGGAAGCTTTCGGGTCCCGTTCAGAGGGTGCCTTCATCCCTTTTCATTGCAGGGCTATGATCTGGAGATCCTTGGAGCGAAAAATAACGTTGCTCATTTTCACTCCCTGTCATTATGATCCCGAGAACTACAGATAAAGTTGAATTTATTAAGAATGGAATAGAAAAGGGAATAGAATAGAATAAGAGTATAGAATAGAATAGAATATAGAATAGAATAAGGAATAGAATAAGAGTTTAGAATAGAATATAGAATAGAATAAATAATAGAATAGGAGTTTAGAATAGAATAAAGAATAGAATAGAATATAGAATAGAATAGGGAATAGAATAAGAGTTTAGAATAGAATAAGAGTTTAGAATAGAATAAGAGTTTAGAATAGAATAAATAATAGAATAAGAGTTTAGAATGGAATAAAGAATAGAATAGAATAAAGAATAGAATAGGAAATAGAATAGAATATAGAATAGAATAAGTTTAGAATAGAATAGGAGTTTAGAATAGAATAGAATAAGAGTTTAGAATAGAATATAGAATAGAATAAATAATAGAATAGGAGTTTAGAATAAAATAAAGAATAGAATATAGAATAGAATAGGGAATAGAATAAGAGTTTAGAATAGAATAAGAGTTTAGAATAGAATAAGAGTTTAGAATAGAATAAATAATAGAATAAGAGTTTAGAATGGAATAAAGAATAGAATAGAATATAGAATAGAATAAGAGTTTAGAATAGAATAGAATAGGAGTTTAAAATAGAATAGAATAAGAGTTTGGAATAGAATAAAGAATAGAATATAGAATAGAATAGGGAAAAGAATAGAATAAGGGTTTAGAATAGAATAGGAGTTTAGAATAGAATTCTTTATTGGCCAAGTGTTCTTTATTGGACACACAAGGAATTTGTCTTTGGTGCAGATGCTCTCAGTGTACATAAGGAGAATAAAAAATATTCATCAAAAATCATAAGATAAAACACTTAGTGAGAGTCATAGGTTACTAATAAGCTATCCAATCGTACTAGGAAACAAATGAAACAATATAAATTGTAGAGATAAAAGCAACATGGTTACAGTCATAAGTGGGAAGAGAGAGGTACCAGGAAGGAAGAGAAGAAGAATAGTAATACAGTCTTAGTAAATCATTTGACGGTGTTGTGGGAATTAGCTGTGAAGCATCTGCTATTTATCTTCCTTCCGCAGCAACTGCCACCATGAAGTCCTATCAGAAGCTGAGCACGGACATCCCTGGGATCACCGAGGCAGGGGAGGAAGACCCTGATGGGAAACCATTGTGCCATCAAAAGCTGTCGGCTTGGTGGCTAGGCGGGGGCCTCTTGATGGTGGCCGCCCTCCTGAGCGGGGTGACAGTTTGGGTTCTCGGCCAGATTTGGTGGGGCCAGCACGTGGTTCCCTGCCTGTCCAAATGCACCTCCGTGCCAGAGAACCGCCGCTTTGACTGCTACCCGGAGAAAAGCATGATTGTGACGCAAGAACTTTGTGAGGGTCGGGGGTGCTGTTTTGTGGACGGCGAGACCCCCCTCGATAGGATAAACGGGATTCCCTGGTGCTTCTATCCCCCCGATTTCCCCAGCTACACCTTGGGGGCCACGAACGAGACTGAGCTGGGGCTGGTGGCTTTTCTAACCAGAGAAACGAAGACTTATTATCCAAAAGATGTTGAGAAGCTGCAGCTCAGCGTGGACTTTGAAACGGATTCTCGGTTGCGTGTCAAGGTGAGACACTTGAAAAGAGATAACCAACCAACAACATAAAAGGAAAGGAAGAGAAGGAGAGGAAGGGGGAGAGAAGGAAGAAAGAGGAAAGGAGGGAGGGAAGGGATAGAAAGAGAAGGAGAGAGGCTAGGAGAGGGAAGAGGAAGAGAGGAGTAGGGGAGAGGCAAGGGAAGAAGGAAAGGGAAAGGAGAGGAGGAAGGAAGAGGAAAGGAGAGGAAGGATAGAAAGAGAAGGAGAGAGGATAGGAGAAGGAAGAGGAAAAGAGGAGTAGGGGAGAGGTAAGGGAAGAAGGAAAGGGAAAGGAGACGAAGGAGGGAAGAGGAAAAGAGAGGAGGGAAGTGATAGAAAGAGAAGGAGAGAGGGTCGGAGGGGGGAGAGGAAGAGGGGTAGGGGAGAGGTAAGGGAAGAAGGAAGAGGAAAGGAGAGGAATGAGGGAAAGGATAGAAAGAGAAGGAGAGAGGATAAGAGGGGGAAGAGGAAGAGAGGAGGAGGGGAGAGGCAAGGGAAGAAGCAAAGGGAAAGGAGAGGAGGAAGGAAGGAAGAGGAAAGGAGAGGAAGGAGGGAAGGGATAGAAAGAGGAGAGGGTAGGAAGGGGAAGAGGAAAAGAGGAGTAGGGGAGAGGCAAGGGAAGAAGGAAAAATAAAGGAGAGGAGGAAGGAAGGAAGTAGAGAAGGGAGGGTGAAAGAAAAATAGGGTGGTGATAATACAAAATAGCTGTATGGGATGGTAAGAAAAGTGACCCAGAATGTATATTTTAACTTTTTATATGGAAAAACAAATGTGTAAAAGTGATAAAGATAAATAAGGAGAATAACTATGTGAATGTATACCTGTGAATGTGTACATAAGAGAATAAAAATAGAAAAAAACCCTTTTTTTTAAAGAAAAGGTGAGACGCTTGTCAAACGTTCTCGCTGCCCCTTCCCGATGTGGCCTTTGCTTCCACGCGATCCGTGTTTGTGTTTCTCTTTGTAGATCACCGATGCCACCAATCCCCGGTACGAGGTGCCTCTTGACGTCCCCCAAGCCACCAAGAAGGCGGAGAATCCCCTCTATTCCGTGGAGTTGTGCAAGGAACCTTTTGGTTTGGTCGTGAAGCGAAGACTCTCCGGGACAGTTCTGTAAGCTTTTTTTCTCCTACGGCTTTTATCCTGCTGTCTTTCCAGAGAGAGGAGGCTGCCTGATCACACACACACACCCTTCTCCAATCAGTAATAGCCAGGAGGGGTTGTGCAACAGCTCCGTCCTCTGAAATCAGTATTTTTGAAACAGAGTGTTGTGGCCCGCCAGCGGCCAGCAGAGCTGGGGGCAGATTCGGACAGTGAGGAGGTTGAGGCGGAAGATGGGCCAGTCCTGGAGTCTGGGGGAGGCTCAGATGAGAGCTCTGTGTCGGCGGCAGAGAGGGGGCCAGGGTCGTCTGGCAGCTATCAGCTGCCTTTGGAGTCGGATATCACTGGTGCAGAAGAACAGCTGGAGCCTGTTCCCAGCGTGCGCATGCGCAGAGTTGCCAGACGAAGGGAGCAGCTAAAGAACAGGGGTTGACTTGAGAGGAAGGCCACAGGTGGACGATGAATGAGGAAATAAAAGAGGAGCGAATGGGGAGTGGAGTTTGCAGGATACAATTAGTTCATTCCTGCATTCTTGCCAAGCATTGCGGCGTCTGAAAGATATCGGCCTGGCACTTCTCCAAGCCTGATAAAAGCCTGAACTATCTTGGAAGACTGTGGGAGAGGAAAGACTTTGCTGGAGAGGAACTCACTGTCAATTAATTAAAAGAGGTTTATCAGGACGAGGACTCGGCTTCATGCTGCTGGGGAAGCTGAGATC